ATATAGAATGTAGTTAATGGGCGCTTAGTTTCTCTCACTGCAATTTGCCCTCGGTGACCTTCAGCGCAAGCCATTTATTTCATGCATATTTTTAAATTAACTATTTGCGCTGTGTTTGTGTGTTTGTTGCACAAAAGCCACAAATAGCTGCACAGAGTTGGCGTGCATTTGCCAGCCACTCCCCCCACCCCCCCACTAGGTTCGCCTGCCTTTTGGCCAAGTTCAGGGCATGGCTGGCATCTCAGCACGTGCTGCCCAGATTCATCTCAGTCAGTGGCAGTCAGCGTACAATTTCTCCATTTAAATGAGAAAAAATTGTGAGAAATTTGTAACGCAGGCGTTTTGCTTGCCCCTGCCACATTGTTGCTGCTGTTGTTGTTGTTGCTGTTTTGTTTTTGTTTGTTGTTGTTGTTGTTGCTGCTTTGCAGGCGCTGCCAGTCAAGTCAAGTAAACATGACGTGCGATGTCTAATTTTTTTTTTGATACTATTCAACTCTGTTTTTATTTTATTTTTTACTTTTATTTTTGGCTGCTCTCTCTAGCTATCTATCTCTCTCTTACTTTCGCTGACTCTCTCTGGCCAGTCGTTGACTCCATGAGCCGTTAACTCTGTCTCGATTCAACTCGCTCTTGCTCTCCCTCTTCCTTACTGTATCTCTCTTTCCCTCTCTCTCCCTCTCCCTCTCTCTCGCTTGCTGGCTTACAGGAGCGCAATATTTTACATTTTCATGCATGACGCGTTTAATCACGTGATGCATATGATTTTCAGCCGCTGAGGGCAGACGCAACACTTTACCCGCTCCCTATCCGCATTTTCTCAACCTTCCTTATATTCATGCATACAATTCCATCAGCATGAATTATTATGCCTTGCATACTTTTCAGCTGCCTTCGGTGGTTGCTGTTGTTGTTGTTGCTGCCGTGTTTAGCTTTGGCACTGTCTGCTGCTGTTGGCTCTCTGTGGTTTGGTGGCCCTTGGCGCCTTTACGAAATGTCGCCTTTTATGTTTTCTACTTTAGTCGCTTCTCTTTGGTTTGTTTTTAGGTTCTCTTTCATTTTGTCTGCCAGGTTGGACGGGCTCTCCACTCGCAAACTTGTGGATTAGAGCGTGTAATTTAACTAAAAAGAGCACTTCACATACGACGTATTTGTAAGTGTTTTTGGGTGTTCACTGTTCACTGTTCGCTGTTCGCTGTTCAGTGTTTGACTGTGGCTGTGGCCGGGCCTGTGGCTGCGGGGCAATGTGCTTTTAATTTCGCTCCTTTTGGCTCCAGAGTCACAAAATTTCCATAGAATTTATGTGCTTAACTTTCACAGTCCGCTGCCAGTCACCGAAAAATAGTCACACAAATGGTCAACGTTTTCACACTTTTGCGCCTTTTGGCCAAAAACTGAAAATGAAAGCGAACACAAAGCCAAACAGTCAGCCAACCAGACGGCCAACCAGCCAGCCATGCAGTCAGTCAGGCTAACCAACACTCAGCAACAACAACAACAACAATACGCTGAATATATTCAAGTGAATATTTATGAGCGACAAAAGTAGCATTTGTGCTTTGCATTTTGGCTTGCACTTGTTATGTGATATACCCAGTGCAATTGCTTTTCAATGGGTATTTGGGTTTGAGAAGTTGAGTTAAATTAGCTGATCTGTGTGATCCATATGCACAAGTGTAATATGATTAAGAAATGTTCAAGGGAAATTAAGCACAACAAAATAAAAAAAAAATATAATTTAATATAAAAATAATAACTAATATATTTGTCAAGTTATTTATTTGTCTATCTGTCTACCTACTTAACTAACTAGCTATCTATCTATCTATCTATCTATCTTTCTATCTATCTGCCTCTCTAATCTATCTCTATTTAGATCTATATCTCTGTATGCATTCTTAAAATCTCACATCCTAAGACTATAGTCTATATAAGCCTAGCTTATCGGGCATGTCTCTTTATTTGTGTGTTTTTCTGGTGGCCTCTGTGTGGCTCTCTCTCTATGCCTTCTTCCTGTCTCTGTCTCTGTCTAATTACCTGTTTGTTATTGTTCTGCTTATCTTTTCACTTTGATCTTATTAGAGGCATGCTTCTTTCCTCTTCTGCCTGCTTTGCATCTGCATCTCTGTTGTCCCTGTCTAACCGCCTGTTTGTGGACTTTCCATTCATCTGACAGACTTTGATTTAGAATCTTAAAAGTATAAATATTCTTATTAAAATTCATTAGCCAAAGCGACTTTTTTGTCTTCTCTTTTTTCGATTAATATGAATGACTTGAAAAACTAGATTTAGAAAAGTGTATATACATACAATAATGATAGTCAGGTCTTGGGTATTTCTTTCCCTCTCTCTTTCTTTATTCTTTCTCCTTCTTCACCTTGCCTAATGCTCAGAAGTGTTTGGATGAATCATATGCTTGTCTTCTTCTTTTGTCTTTAGGGTCTTTCCTTGTCTTCCGGTCTATTTGCTTCTTTGCCTCTTTCTCGCTCTCGCTCTATCGCCCATCGATGCTTAGTTTAATTCTTAGAAGTATTTATAGTATAAGTGGATTTCTAAGTGGATGAGTCATATAATATGTCTTTCTCTCTTGCCTTCATTGTCTTCCAGTCCATCTCTTTGCCTGTCTCTTCCTTCCCTTCTCTTTCCACTCAGATTACTGGGTATTTTCGAGTCGTGCCTGTCGCACTTGTTGTTGTTGCTGCTGCTGTCATTATCCCAACATTACAGCTGTAAGCAACAGTCGGCCAAAAGTGACGGCCAGCGACAACAGCTTTTTGGCCAACTTATCTTGTTGTTGTTGTTGCTGTTGCTCGCACTCGTTGTCAGCATTTCCGACGCTGATGAGTTTATGCTTTTGGGCTATATTACTTTATTCGCCATTGCTATCCGAGTGTGTATGTGTGTGTGTGTGAGTGTGTCGGGCCTGTTACTCTGCGGTTAGGCGCCTCACACAAACGCCCATTCATGACTGTCATGAGTTTTCCGCAATTGATGGTCTAATTATGCCGCCAACACTAAATTTCATGACTTTGGTGGTCGACCCAGTTGTGGGCCTGAGCTGTGAGCTGTGAGCTGCTCCATGTTTGTGGCAGACTGGCTATGCATGTAATTTAATGGAAAAACATTTGACACACACACACACACACAGACACAGACACGAATATGAGCGACTAAGAGCTGCGTTATCTATGTGTGAAAGATGGCCAACAGCAATTGCCCTTTTAACAGATTGACTCTGCATGCTGAAGCGCATGACCAGAGCATCAAAGGATAAGACAGCTATTAGCTGGTGAGTGCTTTGGACAGTTTGACAGTGATTCAATGGATATGTGTTATTATAAAATCGAAAATGGACCTCAATAGGCTTAAGTTAAGTGAGAAAGGGCAGACAATAGAGGGATTGCCACTTGGACTCTGGATAGCCTGAATCTTTCAATAGAGACTATGAGACTTTCATTAATCTAATCTTAAGTCAAAGACATTGTTCGCACTTTCACATAATTTGAGAAGGAATTGAATTGATTTCCTAGAAGGAAAGGCTTAACAAAATGGCAAATTAGCTGATGTATATGCTTTATATGGACACGCCTACTTCTAATTTTCATACATCTCAAATGTTTACAGGGTATATTAAAAGTCAAATAATTTGCATAAACAAATTATGCTAATGATGTCTATGGACTATTGGCTAGCTGAGCGCGGCTATTTGCCAAACACTCGCAATAATTGAATAGACTCAACAATGCAGAAGCGTTCAAGATTTAAGGTATTTAAATATTTACCTATTAACAATAATAAGCCATTTAAATTATGTGAATTTAATCAGGCTTTCGGCTTTCGGGCATTTCTGTTGCTGTATTACAGACCTCACCACAAATTTATGCAAATCAGTTTGTTCGCACTTTATAATAATTGTATGCATATTTATGAGAGAGTCAATGATTATGTATACAAATTAATGTCCAAATAAACAAATACAAAAAAGTACTAAAAATTAAATGCCGAAAATATGTATGTGATTATAGAGAACCAACCAAACAAAGCCCGATTTATGGCGAACAACTAGTTAGTGCTGCCCCATCAGGTTTCTACATAACTGTATGATTCGCTTGGGCCGCTGTCAGTGTGTGTCGGTGCTTGGGAGATGCTGGTTCTCTATAGATTATTGTTGGTTGGTACTCAGAATGTTTTTCGATTCGCACACATGGCTGCTGAGCTCGGCTGTGCTCTGCTGCTTGAGCACAATCGGGGCTCAACAGCAACTGTTTGAACAGCCGTCGACGTTGACGGCCCGAAAGTAGGTCGCCTATGGGCTTAAGTGCTGGAAAGAGGTCAATCTATTGAGCAGCCATTTACTTGCAGCTTAGCGCCGACAATCTATAATGTGGCAGGAGTTGGCGCTGGAGCTGGCGCTGGAGCACAGTTGCCAAATCATGCGGCCGTACAACGTGCGCCAGCACAAATTATTAAGGCAACGGCGCTGCAAGAAGTCAGGGATAGCGAAGAGCTGGCGCCGTTCTTCCAGCAATTGTTGAAGCAAACTATGCCAAATTGGCAGACAGAGCACAAGCAGCGGGGGCAGCAGCGGCAGCAGCAGCAGGAGCAGGAGCAGCGGCAGGAGACGCGGGGGCAGCAGCAGCAACACTTTTTTGTGGAGCTGCCAAGTCAACAACCTCAAATATTGCACGGCTACAATGGCGTCAATGTACGCCAGCAACAGCAGCAGCAGCAACAGCAGCAGCTACAATCGACATCTCTGCCGCAGCAGCAACAGCAACAGCAACAACAACAACAGCCATTCGCTCAGCTGCCAATTCAAAAACAACAACAACAATCATACACCACATATTTACAAACATCGCCAAAAATCGCATTGGCGCCGCTTACAGCAGCAGCAACGACAACAACAACCACAACAACAGCAGCCATTGGTGTTGCGCCGCCAATTGGAAGTTTGGCCAACAGTTTTCAGCCTACGTAAGCAAACAGCTATCAAGCATAATAGCATTTACTTTACCGTTATGCTTTTGTGCTTTTCATTATTATTATTGATTTGCTGTTGAAATGCATTTTTTTTTTTTTAATTAGCTCACCTCAAGCGCAAAACACGACGTTGGCCAAGGAGCAGTGTGAGCTGTGCTGCGACCCGTTGGCGCCGCCGAATACGCCCTGTGGCTGCTGCAATACGAAGCCGTTGCTGAGCGCTGCGGCGCTGAGGGCGACAACTGGTTAGATGCTATTTTTAATTAAATTTCTGTGAATCTTTGTGTATGTGTGCGTGTGTGTGTGTGTGTGTGTGTGGGTTGCTGTGTGCTGGCCCAATTAATAAAGACGTATCAAAAAGTGTTGCATACTTTTGAGCTGTTCGTTAAAGGAGTGAAAGGGAGGGCTAGAGACAGAGATGGAGAGAGTCTATGTTATTTAATTGCATGAAGCAGCTGTGCCGTATGTGTGTGTGTGTGTGTGTGTGTGTGTCTGTGTGTGCATGCTTGAAAAGTTTTCACAATATGTGTCTTATCTGTCATCAACGCCAGCCACGCCTACGTCTGCAGCGTCCAGTTGACTCCAGCTGCTACTGCTGCTGTTCCAAACACAAAAGCGACTCATGCAACTAAAAACAATTTCTAAAAATATAAAACATGCCACACAACAACAACAACAACAACAAGTAAAAAACCGCAACACTTCATGTTGAGTGCGACGTTGCAAATTGTTTGCCACAGCTTCTCGCTCTCTGTGTGTATGTGTGTGTGTGTGTGCGTGTGTGTGTTGAGCTGTCAACACGAAAATAAATAAAAAATCTTCTAAAACTGCGCGTTGTTCTATACATCTGTGTCTGTGTATTTGTGTGTGTGTGTGTGTTAGCGAGTGTTTCAAACTGAAAAATGAAAGTGCTGAAGTGTTGGCCATTGTTTTGTGTCAACGCTAAGCGAAATCGCAATCCCATTCACCGCAGAGCAACAACAACAACAGCAGCAACAACAATGAGTGAAACGTAGACGATGACGAAGTCAGAAAGAAAGGTGACAGCACGATCCGCCCAGGCTATACTAAGTCTTGCCTATAGTATAGTATGGATATATAGATGT